CTCGGCATTGGATTATAAATATTTCGTTTTCTTTCTCAGCAATCGCGAGGCTGTTAAGCCGCACCCGTTTATTTCCATACAAATAGAACACATACAACACAACCGTAGCTAACGTTTGGGCAAAATCGCCTTCTACAGAGCCGCTTTTTTTACCTATCTTCCACCGAGGAAGAACAACCGCTTGGAGTCGCATATGGTTGACGTCTCATCCGCTAACGTAAATAGAAGAAAATGTTAGCAGACTATCGGGTCTGCCTTAGCTAATTTAATGCGGGTATCTTTTCATACAACTGTATTTATCTTATTTGCAATATAATGTGTTTTCTTTTCGTGTCTGGTAACAGTGAGAATGATTGTACAAAGAAAGTACGGAGGGTAATGTTTGACAATGTTATTCCTTCAAGTGGGTATACAACAAAAGCGGACTCGAGACAACGAACGAGGAAATGAACTTTAACACCCACAGCGCAGTAGACATCATCTGTTCAAACAATGAGTTGGAATCTTCCAATAATTCTAGAATTCCTGCTAACCTAATCTACGATCTACTGCAGTCACCTTCTCACTGCCACTGGATGTCGAGGAGGTTTTTATTCCCGCCGTCGTCATAATCGGAAACAACAAATATTAACGAATTATGTTAATAATCCTACTAGTGAAACAACGGATAGCATTCGCACAACTGCTTGGGATCAGTTGTTCACTAAAATCGAGGCTACAAAAGTTTCACTGCTAGAGCTGCTAAAATTGTACTTATTATTCATTTGTGATCAGCCCACAATTCCAGTTGTCATTACTGCCCTCGTTATATTTTTTATTGGTTTAATGCTAGGCGCAGGATTCGGGAAAGGCATTTAAGGTAAACTTGTATTATCGCTAATCATTTACGAATATTGCAAGCTTTTTATTTTTTAAGGTGAATTCCAATATAAAATTCATTGCACACTGTAAAGTTGGCTTAACACTTACGGGTCGGCACTTAATTTAGTTACTTGGTGTAGCTTTTATTTTTTGTGTTGATTATTTTTTGTCGTTAGAAGGTCGGAGGATCCGTAGCCGACGAAATAATGCTCCTGTCTTGAATGAGTTAATGTGCTTTGTGAACATAATCGTGACGGCGTCTAGTCTAGCTTGACTACCGAATGGGACGACACCAAATTTTCTGTGTCTACGGACCTGCTGGTTTTTCGAGAATGGACAAAAATACTTCGGCAATTAAAAGACTTGAAGAGGTTAAGAACATCCAAGAATTATAGGAAAAACATTGTTTTATTGCTCTATGTGTATATGTGACATATATGCTACTATTTGCTATCTGTTACTATGGTCCATCATATTAACACAAGGCAGTCATCCCTTTGAGGTTTTTGTAGCTTACGTTGAAATTATTTCTGTACTTGTTGCACTCTTCCATTTTTGTCATAGCTATGATTTAGTGTAGTGTTTAGAATCCAGATAACAGTTAACTTTCCGAAAAATTAGTTGCGAATAAAAAAATGGATAATAATAATAGTAATAATAATAATTGGATAAAAATGACTATTGGAAGTCACGTAAAAAGCGGCTTTGAAGAAGGCGATTCTACCGAAACGTCAGCTACTGTTGTATTGTATTGTGTTTCTTTATGGAAGTAAATGGGTGCTGTTTAAAAACCTCGCGATTGCTGAACAAGAAAACAATGCATTCATATTCTAATGTCGATGTTAATAGAAAGTCGATCCCGGGTATTTTGTGTACTTTAAAGTGCAGGTTGGTGCTTTTCCAAAACAACGCCCACTGAAACATCCGTGGTGGACAACCTGTCGATTTCATATGAAAAATTTCGCAAAAAACTCTTTGCGGAAGAATAAACCACCGAGAAGAAACGACGTCTATAGACGTCATTCTTTCCATTGTGTTCCTAAACCGTGACTCCTATAGAGGTGACTTCGGCGCGGTAGTGTTAATAATTGCAGAACAATGTATTTAGTCAGCATACACTGTCATAAAATATTTACTCTTTTTGGAACTTAGATCTAATATTATCATCACTTTTTTCGGATCGTCGATCGAAGGTGAAGTTGACCAATTGCAGTACCCATCGAGCACCGTTTACGATACTGTTCAAGTACATGAGTGACGTTCTAGTTTTGGTAGTTTTTTCAGTATTGTAGAGTGTTTTTAAATGAGTTCATAAGAACCAGTAACACACTACCCTACTGGGTGCTACAACACATTAGTTATTTTTCGTAAGTCGGCGATTGACGTCTCGAATGATAAAGTTTTATAAGCAAACTAAATCAGAATCAGCTTCTATCAATAGAATGTAGAAGAGAAGCTGTCGTGGCGAACTCTCATTCTTATGCGATTATTTCCGTTTATTTCTCCTTATTCATTTTGACATATTCGTTTTTACAAAAGGTTTCTTACTTTTAATTAATCAATAACTCCTTGATTACAGTATTGGGTTGGGTGGGTGTGAAGATGATATGGCTGATTGTGTGCTGGGTTCTTATGTCACTATTGTGCTATTTGGCTCTCAATCATCTTGGAATTCGTACAACTGACGACTCAGCAAAAATTGTCGCTACACAAAAGGACGGGTACACACCAACCCCTCACAATGTGTAAGTGATTGTGTCGTTCTCGTTATGGAAGAAAATAATCAGAAAATTTGCAGAATACTTTTCTTCCTGAGCAGACCTCTCTTCAGGCTCCTTATCGTCACATTTGTTCCATGTTATTTTCTTCCTCACCTGATTTTCATCGTACAGCATCCATGTTTAGCATGAGTTTAATAAGTCATAAGTACTTACTGATAGCTCGATGCAATTCTGATTAGAAATCGATGTTTTACTTTGCTTGGACACTTTTGTGAAAGTGAAGTTCGCGTTTCGCTATCAGTAAATCTTAAAAGTTCCTTTCTTTTTTGGCTAATAGTTACAAAAATTAGAGTTTTTCCACAAAAGTTAGAGTTTTTCATTGCCAGCTTTTTGAAACAATCCACCTGCGCCTTTTTTTTTATTCCAAAAAGCAGAGGAGCAATTAGTACTTTCATTGCAATCTCATTATTTTGAAACGGCTTTCTGAAACTATCAGATTTGCGGCTTCACTTCGACTATTCAGGCCTATCTTATTTTTACCCCAAGTTATTAAATACGGGAAATTGCACAACGTATAGAATAAGTTCTTATAGACTAGAGTAAGATTACGACTGTCGCAATAAAATTGTTTATGATGAGACATAAAATGCTATTGCCATTGCTATAATGCTATAGCCTTTGTGCGAGAAGAAACGAGAAATCGATTTATTTCTCGGACGGTCAACAATTTACCATTCACAAGACAAAAAAAATACAAAGAATGGAGAATACAATTGTGTAGGAGAACTGTACACTTTAACAGAAAAAGCCGTAAAATTTCAATACAAAATTGTAATTACCTTATAGAAGCGGGTGTAGTGCAACGTCAGAGACTGTTCATTACGTGCATGAGTCCTGCTCAAACCAGTTTCGTGTAGAAAATTGGTGCCCAACTTACCCGAGAGGATTTCTTTAAGTACGAATGTTGATAGCTGTTCGTCTGAATGTGGAAGCTGCTTGGAATACTTATCCCAGTACTTCAGGGAGAGTCTACTCAACTAGAGGCGTGTAGCGGAGTGGTCGGAGGTGTTCTTCAGCACACATTGGATTGATCCCCACTCCAAAGGCTCATCAAGCCTTCCAATCCTTAGAGGTCGGAAAGTTAGTACCAGACTTGTCCGGAAGGATAGCAGCACTGGCTCGATACATCGGCAAGGCACCGCGAGCCATTGTAAAGGCCAGTTATGCATCCAATCACCTCCAACGACGCTTAATGAAGTCGGAAGCATGGCGCAATCCCTAAGGGATTGATGAACGACGAGATCTTTATCATTTATCTTTTATCTACTTGATAAGTTTTCAATGACACGCTTTCTGTCTATTAAGCAAGCATGAGGTTGATAATAGGATTTACTCGGTTATTATTTTGACTTCTTCCTCTCCTTAAGAGCCGATTGATCCAAGCAAAATGTTCCGCAAGAAAGATGAAATCCTCGAATAGCGAAAGAACCGACACGAGAACAAGGAAATACTTGTGAGTGATGAATACGAGGACGAGAAGCGGGTTAAACAGCTTCTGAGATCCGCATAGCATCTGTTGTCAGATAAGGTGAAAATAACATCTTGTAAGCACATCCGTGTGTAATTGGATGATATATTCAGAATCTGCACTTCTTCCAAAGTATCTCTTTTTTGAAGTTTCACTGATATTTTTGTTTGTTAGTTGAGTTCCGTTTTTCTGTAATCCCGACTGAGCCACGGCATTACGCTTCTTGGTTGTCACTTCAGAAAGAAAAACATACAAAAGTGGCATACACTTGTCAAACAAAGGGAATTCTGCTACGGTTCGGCTAGTTTTCTTTGGAAACAGTGCCGATGCTCGCCGTTGTTTCACTACAATCTGAGTTCCTCGATGGAAATCTCATACTCCATTAGGGTGACATTTGGATGGATGGATATATCCTTGCACTACATCGTACCTGAAAACCTGACAAGCTCCATTAATATGGAGAGGCAGTAAGCCATTTAGGAAAATCTCATAGTATTCCTTTCTGTGAAATTGGTTCTCTTCATAGTCTTGGAAGTTCTACGATCAATTCCTATTATGGTCACCTAAAAATCAGCTTTAGTTTTTGATTCATAATCCGGTTGATTAAAAAAAGTTTTTCCGAGGAATTAATCTCGGAGTTAGTGGGATCTGTTACTCTTTCCTTGTTTTAAAATCCTTATTTTTTTCTTCTTGTCTCTGTACAAGGCTCTTCTAGAACAAAGTGGTAACATTTACGCGCATAAAGAAAACAGGTGATAAGAATAACTGGAAAGATGCAATCTTTGCCTACGGAAACCTCTTCTCCTACTATTAACGATAAGATCCCAGATATATGTAAACTTATGGGAAATATTTGAGATGTCCAGGTTTTTTCCTTAGCAACTGATGAAATGAAGGAAGATGTAGCAAGACGAAACGGTTATTTTAGCTCAGGCAACGAATGGACGAACGAATTGTTAGCGTGGTTATTCAGTAACTTTCTAAAAGTTCCTGCACCTTTGGAAGCATGGATAAAGTCACTCAATGATGCAGCTAAAAAAGTCAACAAGCCCGTAAGTACATCGAGTTCTTGAAGTTTTCTTTTCGACTTTCTCTGTGATATCAAAAGAATTCTTGTGAACACATTTTAGAGTGAATGTGAAGTGATTTTCGATGGTTTCGGCGATCATTCACATGTAAAAACTCCACCGAAGCTCAACAATATTCGTGTGGAACATGGACCGCGAGAACATCTGGTAGACAAAACATGTGGTTATGTAGCTAATACATTGAACGAAATTTCAAAATAATAGACATATTTACCGATACAAAATATAATTGGGGTAAGGATTCTTCTACATTCATCAATAACGACGACGAACATTGTTTATCGTGAGCGGTTTCACCAATAGACACGTCTTCGAGTGTTGTCTCTAAGATTTCAGCACATGATAACCCTCTCCAGCTATGATTAGTAGCTGTCAAAACATTCGGAAGAACATGAAAAACTATGACACATGAAACTTTACGTACTGGTCGTTAGTGCTCCTCTCGTACGTTTTAAATATTTTCCTCCAACGTGTTCTCACAATGCAGGAGGATGTTTTCTTTAAATGACTGAAGACTCATCTCCACAAAGTGAAGGCAATGGTTGGATCCTCAAATGAAAAAATAATACTAAAAATGCTATCATTTTATAACGAGGATGTGACGGTAACACCGCTGAGATTCTAGCTTGGCCAGCAACTACATTTTCTTTAAAGATAAACTGAAGTTGTAGTAATCGAAAATGCTGCATTTAGTAGCTCACTAATAGTATAGCTGCTTGTTTTGCTACTTTTTTGTGTATTATATCCTTTATCGAAAGAAATCCTTATGTTGGAATATCACGGACGAATTTTCAGCAAAGAACTCGGAATAGCCTTTCCGTTTCGGTTCGCATCACACAACTAGCTCCAGGACGTCCCAGCGTGTCTAATTTTTCCTCGCCAGTAACCCAGATTGATGAGCAGTAATTAACGAGACTGGTTTTTTTTTGTGGCCTGCTGATTGAAAAATGATAGTATGCCTTAGAATCGTGTCTATATTAACTACATAACAAACGAATGGGTGCAGTAAAGCCTGCGCCAGATTCACCATTTTCGTTACGGGATCTTCTCTTCACGTTTTACTACCGGTATTAGTCAGTAGAAAAAACCAATTGGTCTCCACGACAACGCTTGGTCATACGTTGCGGAACCACTACTCTAGAAGTTAAACGAGTTGACCTACGAAACCTTGCCTCATTCGTCATATTCGTCAAGTTTCTCGCCTACCGACTATCATTTCTTCAAGCACCTTGACAATATCCTGCGCGAGAAATGCTTCGCCAACCGCGGTGACGCAAAAACTTTCAACGATTTCGTCGCTTCAAGAACTTTGGACTTTCATTCAACCAGAATAAATAAATTTGCGTTTTTTGACAAAGGTGTGCAAATGCAAATGGCTTTTTATTTTGACCAATAAAGTATTGCTTGAAGCAAGTTATGACATTTTAAATAATATAGCTAAAAACGCTCATTTACTTCTGAACAACCTAATATAATAGTGATCGCCTCGTCCAGTATGCGTGCACCGTTCTTTTTGCTCTAGCACTTTTGTGGGAGATATAGGTTGTATTACTCAAGAAGAGCACAAAGTTCATCGTCAAAGGGGATCGCCCGTTTTTTGTTTATTGAAGGCAAAGAACAGTTGCTATGAGATTTATTACCTTGATGAGGTTTTAATGATGTATTATACAACCGGAGATTTGGTCTCTTTTCATCCATCAAATCAATGCCTCTCTACATCAATAGTAACGCCTGATGTGATTGTGAGCTGCAAAAGATATTTTGCAGCTTGGAAACCTTTTGAGCGATTGAATTCCTGCTCCAAATTCTCTTTCTGTAGTCACCACTGGTTCTTCTGATTCCAAAATATTATTTACATTCTTTAAAAAAGAGGTGGTGGTCGCTATTATAAACTTGAGAGATCCCGATGTTTACCCGCCCCTAGTTAAGCTTCATGAGAAGGATAGACATGTCGAAATTCCCAGACCTCGCAACATTGAATCTAGTTTAGTATTGAAATATGGAGACGTGAGATAACCAGTTCATAAAAGATGATATAATTTTCGATGGCTATTAGAGTTTTCAGATTTTCTACTATATCCAAGATATTCTACGTTGCTTCAGACACTGAAAACCAATGTTCATCTGCCATGTGTGTGTCTTAAAGTCGTTTCATCTCAGCGAACACCTGAGAGGCTTTTGGTCAGCAACTTCGACGTCAACATCGTGGATTTGCGTGGAGAAGTACCGTAATTTCACTCTTTAGAGTTTGATTCAAAGACATCTTTGAAGATTAAAGACTCAAAGGTGCTACGAATGAAGCGAGTGCTTCAGATAGAATGTCGATTTGCATGCATCGCCAACCAGCTTTTTTTGATGGGTTGCTTCAATGGTACGCCAGAAATGGACATCGAATTGACCAGTACTGATTCGAACGCAGTAAGTTCAGGTTTTTGTGATGTTCTCTATAAACTCTTCCTAACCCACATGCTTTGTGATATTGTTCTAGCTATAAGCATAAACATTTTTTATTTCATAAAATCTCATCATTTTACTGAAAATCGTAGTTCACTATGACACCTCGAAAACGAAATGGCCGCTTTTGCCAAAGAGATATAACGAACCAACTTTTTGATAAATTATCTTCCAAATCAACAAATAAACAACATTTTGACAAACGTACACAGGTGATATCAGGTATTTTTGAGTTTGGCAAAATCATTTCCATATCCTAGTACTGATAAGATGTAAATTCTAGCAAACCCATGTTTCTCTTGGACTTGTCGAGGAAAAGATTCGAAGATGTTTGCTGTCAGCAGTGACCAACATTAATCTTTCTGAATCGGTGACATCAAATCCAGACGAATGCAGGATAAACGAGCAACTCATTATGGATTCGTTCAATGAAAATATGTACCGGAATCAGGTGTGGCACAGTGGCAAAAAAAATTTTTGAAGAAAGCCATCGGGAAAGCCCTTCGCTTTCTTCTTTAACATTATGCATAAAATTCTTCTTCATAGTTTATTATTTTCCGAAATTTCCAACGCTGCATTAGACATTTCAACCTTCTGAGCAGATATCTCATGCAAAGTTTCTTTATCCTTTGACATTGTGTGTCACATCCAGAGCATGGTTGCACTACAGTCCTACTTTTTGTATTCCAGTGTGAGTTTCGCAATCACTCACCAGTTCCTTCCAACACAATTCCTTGCGCGCCTCTAACAGATGCAAAAAGATTATCAGGAGAATACACAACTGTTCAAGCCCATGTTCCTGAAATTTTCAAGAAATTCAACGATTCCCATGTAAGTAGAGAACGTCTGAAGGAGTACCATAGCTAGCAGTGATTTCTTTTCTATTCAGTTAATGTCACCGGTTGTTAATCTCAAAAATGAATCAAACAAACTACGAGTAAAAGTTATAAAAGCGACACGTCTTGGAAGAGGAACAGGTTATTTTAACTACTCTTGGATTTCTAGTCGTTTCATCAGCAGTTTCATAGTGGTACTTTAAATCATAATTGCTATGCAATCCCAATACTTTGTTTAGGTATACCAGAGGTTCATCAGCCTTTTGTAGTCATCGAAGTGGATGAACCAGCTCAGAAGTTCACGACAACCAATGCCCTAAACACATTACCGTTTTGGGAAGAGTCATTCGATTTGTAAGTGGAATCAAAAAAAAATTTGTTAATGTGTTAAGTTCTCTAAAATTACCAAAGAAAGGAAGTAGGACAATTAACATAGCAAGCCAAATTCAATTCTTTCAGTGAATTAACGTCAGCTTCAGAAGAAATCCTTTTCGAAGTCTATGACGGGAGCGCAAAAATCTCTTCAGAAGACGACAAGAACTTCCTTGGCCTTGCTATAGTGAACCTCGAAGAGATAAAGAAAAGCGGTGAGGTAAGTTGAGAAAACACAACTATTATAAATATGAAATGGAACTCTTTTTGAAGTTTCTATTTTTGAGCGAATGCCGAGGCGAATAAAAATACTACGAAGCTCAAAAAAACCGTCTACATGTTTTCTTTGAAGCACTCAATAGGTCTTTTTCATTTTGAAATACGATGTTTTCACAACTTCAAAATGTTTGGAGCGAAACAAAAAAGCACTTTCAGCATGTACACAATTTAAAACTTCAAGGGAGACCTTATAGAAAGGATGAAGTGCATGGAGAACTCACTGTTACGGTACGATTTCTAAAATGCCCTATGTCTTTGCTAGAATGTATGGCTTCACTTAAGGATTTGTCTTCAGTCAGCGTCATTGCACAAGCAGCGAAATGAGACTTTTCACAATAATAATGAACTACAATTTCAGTTTGATTTCTACTATAGTCCTAAGACGTTAACAGCTGGAAAATTGGTTGATACGCTGAGAATTCGGAATAGCAATGGAAGCGAATTTCGGGAGACAATCACCACTCAAAGACGTGCTGTTTACGATCCTCATGGTTTGTCGTATGAAGAGCTTTTTTGTGGATTTCCTATAGCTTCCTTATCGGAACGATCTTCATATTTCATAGAAGCTAGGATCGGTAGGAAAGTTCGCACATAGAATCCTATAAAGTAGACTTTAAAAGTAAGATAAAAGATGGTCCTTCGAGGACCAATTTTGTTATTTTCGTACGATGAGACTTCAATTCTTCCTTCTTTTCTTTTTCCTTATCGTTCCTCTTTTCCTATTTTTAATGCTGAATCAATCCAGATCACTACGGTAATCCCGAAATAATGCCGACAAAAACCACGACGGTTGTGTTGAAGGCCGTCTCGCAGGTACGATTTTCAATAAATTCAATACGTTTCAATAAAACTGGTCCATGCATTATTTTTCAACATGAAACAAAAGCGAAAGATTCTTAGCAATTGAAAGATCGTCCAGCAATTCAATCCGTTCATGGCTCGATGGAAAATGCAGTTGAGCCGACCATTCAACATATACTTGATCAACAATTTCGAAATACTACGAGCACTACGAACGAAATCCAAGTAAGCACCATTCTATATTCTACGTTTTTTGACTTTCATATGTTTTTCGTTTCTACTTTTGTGCTTTATCTCAAATTTTCCTAGACGTTTGTTTGATAGTAAGTTATTTCATTACACGGGCACTTCTCTCAGGCTAGTAAAATGATTAAAAAAGCATAAAACCTTCGGCGTTGATCAGTTCATGAGGGATGGACCATGCATTCGCCTTTATTAAGGATCGTTAGAGGTGATGGAATGCATGTCTGGCCTTTTCAATGACTCTCAGTGGCGTACCGATCTATCAAATGAGTCCCACTACCATCCCAGACAAGTATGGGACCAATCTGGCAACCCGGAACGAAGGAAGACCTGGTGAATCAAGGGCGCGCGGTCGAATTGAATCATATCTATTGCAAAGCACCTGCAACCACTGCGCCACACGAGCCCATAACTTTAGCTAGTAGTGATGGAAAAGTGAACAATGCTTTTTTGAAGCATTTGTTCTGAAATATTTGCTCGGTCTTTCCTACTATACCGTCTTTTATTATGCCTGCATAATTATCATTTAAACAAACCTCATCGAATGGTCCAGTATATTTTGCACTCGTTGATTACAACAGCGTTTCAAATCTAAAGGTTGCTCGATATATATGTGTATATACATGTATATATATATATATTACATATCTCTTGTATATAATATATATATATTTCTTGTTTCTGTTACCGTGGCTCCATGGCTGAGGTTTCGGCGACTCTGCGTTCTTCATAGTCTTCTGGTAGACATAGTCCAAGCTACTTTTCTCCTCCTGTAGTTGATCTCCAAATACTGAGCACCACCTTGACCTTCTTTATTTACTGCCTACTCTTTTTAACAGCATGGTATGTTGCGAAATATAACATCTAGAATGTTGAGATATTTGCAAAACTCCGGACCGCAGGTGTATGCTGCGGGGAGCGAACGCGCTATTGTCCTTTCCGGAAAGTAACGCGTTCACCACCACACCATACGGGTCCCGCCAATCCTGCTGACGGGTGACTGCTGACGGAAAAAGGTCGAACTAGCTGAGAGTCAGGCGAAACGAAGGACCCGCTTGGTGTGGTGGTGAACGCGTGACTCACCGGAAAGGATAATAGCGCGTTCGCTCCCCGCCGCATACACCTGCGGTGCAGAGTTTTGCCAATATCTCAGCTTCATTGAAGCTGTATTTCGCAATATACCCTGCCATTAAAAAGCAGTAGGCAGTAAATAAAACAATTAAGGTTAACAATAGTGCTATCACTTGATACCAGAATGAATTGCCTCATCAAATTCGTGCATTCCTCGGCGAATTTTATTTTAACTAGTATTCTGTTGATGGGTCGGTTTTCTTATGATGTCGAGATCAGTGGAATAAGGCTTTGTGAAGTCGTCATCATAAGCAGTTCCTGGCCGGCCACTGTATGTCAAGTGTTCGATCTTCTTGGATCCGATGTTAGCGAAATTCCTCAGAACCAGTTTTGTTCGCTTCGAATAAGTATGCTGAAACCGACTATAATTACCCTACCTTTTATATTTTTTTTATTTAATTCGCCAGACCAGTCGTCAGTCTACTGTGTGGATCCCAGCACTTCTTCCATTCAAATCGTTCTCGTCGCATTCATCGTCCAAATTGCTCTTCAAACATTTGGTGTCTTGTTTGGCTGCTGCTTAAAGATCTCTTTTTTTTATGGATGTCCTAGAATACTGGTGTAGTCTATTCTCGTTGCAATCTCGGAAGATATCCACCCTTCGGCGTTCCCATGTGAAATGGAGGAGACTGCTGAGGAGGGGGTCGAACTAACGCCTTTATTTCCTGATCGATGACATGGATAACTACTGCGCTACTTTAACTAGTAGTGCTATTTTACTTATCTCTATTTTCCGCGAAAGTAATTTTATTTAACTCTTAAGAAATGCTGAGATATTTGCAAAACTCCGGACCGCAGGTGTATGCAGTGGGAAACGAACACGCGCTGTTGTCCTTACCGGGGAGCAGCGCACTTCAACACTACACCATCCGGGTCCTTCGCTTTGCATGTCTCTCAGCTAGTTCTATCGATCTTTTTGCCATCAGCAATCACCCGTCAACGGGATAATTTTATTTAGTAAAATCGTATTCGCAACAGCTTAAACGCTTTATCATTTAAAAAAATAGTTTTGATCTTAACTAGGAAACTGGCAAGCTCGCAACCACTACTGCCACTGAAGCAAATGCTGCACTGAATGCACGGCCACCGCATCAGCCTGTAAGCACAGTGGATCGTCAAGGAAGAGGTATTTATATGGCATATGCTTATATGTTGTGTGTGTTCCAATAAAACTGCTGGGTGGCTATGACATTCATTTGAGCAGTCAAATATTTAAAATCGCCCTACCAACAAAGCGAACTGCAGTAGATTACCAGGATGACAGTTCTTTGCGAGGCCGTCATTCGTGAAGACAGTATGTTTTCAAGGACTATTTGAATCGATCATGAAGAGAAACTCCACATCGAGCAATTTTATTAGGTCAACGGAGTGAGCATTCCGTGCTTTAATATTTGCATACCTGTCCACCTTCCGTACCCAATTTATTCCACGGGAATTTCAGGACTTCGGTGGTCTTTCAAAAATGTTGTGTTCAAAAGAGAAAACAAGAAAAAAAACACATTTCTAACTATGACGGTATACTCTTCGCTTCCACTGGTTCTTATGATTTTGCTTCCATTCTAAAACGTTCTGAAAATCCTACTCTGGGGAGGTCTTGTGATTGCAACGAAATTAACGCCCGCTTAACCCATGTTTATTTGCTGGTAGCAATATACTCCCCCAATTCTATTATGAGATGAGACAAGGTAATGGACGTCATTTATTAAGCACCCGATGGCCGATCAAAAGAAATATTCCAGGACGGCAAAAAAGAACTGAACAGGAAAGAGAGAAGAGGGAGCGCTCGTTTTTCGGAGAATTGCGTGATCGGATAAGTGGCAGGCCGCGAAGTCAAACAAAAAGGTTCGTCAGCAGTGAATTTTAATTATTCAGTTTTCTGCGTTCCCGGAAATTTTACACTTTGATTGCTTTCGTCAAAATGCTTCAATTATATAACTAAAGCATTAAAACGCGTGATTTGTACTACCTACCATTCTATTGGTCGTGACGAGTCCAGCTAGGGTCAGGGAATTCTCCATTTGTTCCTGTAGATTATAAAGGTTGCCCGAGAGTTTTTGATCTTTAGGAGAGCTGGAAGGAATATAAAATTTGAGAGGTTTTTAAAAAACAAAAGTCTGACTCCCACGACCGACTTTCTATTAACCTCGGCATTGATCGAACAATTCTATATAATCCTATATAATCTTGTTTAGCAGACACGAGGTGTTATTCTATTTCTTTATTTACGCACAAGTTGACGTCAAGTTGACCTTTCCAGGTAGGAAGGCGAAATCCCCCGAAACGTCAGCTTGTGCGTAAATGAAGAAATAGAATAACACCTCGTGCCTGTTAAACAAGAATGTAAAAAAATCTAACCGTCTGGTGGCTGCGTATTGTTTATGTGCTTGCCATCGATGAGACTTGGCTGTTGAAGAACTTTGTTTTACAGAGAAAGCGTCGATTAATTTAGTTTCATTCACAATGTCGCCGATACCATTTACGGTTCTCAAGTGCTTATTTCTCAGTTATCAGTACTGGAACTGAATCGTTCGTCATGTTGATTTCTCGAACCAAGCTTAGTTTTTTGACTGGCCAGCTGGTGATTTTCTAATGACTGAAATCACTAGACAATTGCACGAAAATAGGAAGTTAGAAAAAATAAACGAACAAAAGATAAGTGAGAAACCGCAATCTGTGCATAAGTGGTGCTATATCACAGATCGAAATCGGTTGACGTTCATGAAGCAGATATCGAGGAAGCTGTTAGTCTACCACCAAGTCGGGATGCTAGTAGGACCAGAGTCTCAGGTTGTTTATTTCAAAACTTCCAGCGTGATTGGTTTCGTTTGGACATTTCTACTTTCAATTTTATGCTTTTGCTGAACGATTATAACATTTATCGCACGCACGGATTTCATCAGGCAGAGGACCACGTTATCACGAGTCACAGTCGGTTGGAGGGAAATCAGGAGAGTCCAGCAGCAGTCTCTACACGCACAGCACTTTGGTACTTGAATTGGACCATGAAGGAGAGAAAAAGTCAGTAATTTCTTCTTTATTTTAAGCTACCGCGTACCACTGAACATTAGGATAAAGCTAAATGTTAGCATGATAGGTATTAACACACTAGTAGTATTGAGCTTAGAAACCTGTGTATCGCAAGTATATTTGGGTTGCTTTGTTAAGAGCTACTGATTAATTTGCTTAATGGTCGATTATAATTAAAAAGTGATCATACCTACAGATATTTCTTAATCCCCCCATCCATGATGGCTGAGCCTGCAACTATAAAACTTATGCGACATGGAAGAAAGCTTCACATCTACAACGAGCATACATTTGTTGCAGTAAAAATTCGCGGGTGGGTACTTTTTAAGTTTTTTTGAGACTATCAATAACACTATTTTAAGTTTTTTTTTAAGACTATCAATAACACTACGCCATTTATGAGAGAAAGAAAGCTCTTATACATATAGTAGACAGTGATCGTGTGGCACAGTGGTCGGAGGCGCCCGGCAACACACATGTGGAATTGATCCCTGTGCCCTTGGTCTGTCAGGCCTCCTGTCCCTCTAGGGCCGGAAAATTGGTACCAGACTTGTGTGGGAGGATAGCAGCACTGACTCAACACATCGGTAGGCCACCGCGAGTAAAGGTAAAATTGTAAAGGTCAGATATGTATTCAATCACCTCCAAACGTTCCTTAATAAAGTTGAATGCATGGCGCATCCATTAGGGATTAATTAACGTCGAGAGCTTTATCCTTTTTTTTATGGACAATTAGGAACCATAGACCACCAAAGACAATACCTGAAAAGATCCTCTATGGTGAGCTTTTTCTCCAAAACCTTTTCATGACGTCTTTCAGTGTTTGGTTGATGATCTACCAAGTTTTACTATGATACGTGTCGATATACCCTGCAATGATTCTCTATTCTATTTAATGCAAACCGCTGAAATACTTCACTGACCAACCGATATTTCCGGCCGTCGAACTGCGATGCACAGTAGCATTCTCGTCACCTGACATATTCACTAATTCCGAAAAACTTTGTTATTATCAAACACAGAACAAAACTATGTCAGGAAACGTTGCCGTTTGCCAATCGATTAGCGAGGAAGTGGATAATTTTTCCATTGATCCACTATACGCGAAACGCTCAATGCGTACATAATGATGACATGGGAAGGCCGTTAAATGACTTTTTCATGAAATGAGGAATTACGGATTTGTTCAACAGCCAAAAACCATTTCAATGGAAATTTCATTGAGTCTCACCAAAAGGGAAAAGGTAGCGCGATGATAGTGACCCTTCATTACGCGGCCGTCCAACGTACCCAGGCCATAATTCGAACTCACCCCTGGCTTAACAGGCCTCTCGTCTTCCCGAGGTTGGACAATCCGTAGCGGACTTGTTTGGGACATGCTCAACGTTTGTTTTTTATTTTTTTTTATCACATTTTATACGGCAGGGTATTATGCGAAATGCAACCACAACGATGCTGAGATGTTTGCAAAACTCAGGACCGGAGGTGTTTGCGGTGGGGAACGAACGCGCTATTACCCTTTCCGGTGGCTAACGCGTTCAGCACCACACCATGTGGGTCCTTCGTTGAAAATTGTAGCAGGCAGAAAATAAAAAAGTAAGCATTGTGATCTCAACTAAAGCCTCAGCTTCGCTGGCTTCAATGCCGAATTGGGCTCCCAAACCAATCCCATTGATAAGTGATTGCTCATGGAACTGATCGATAGAATTGACTGAAAGACAGGCGAAAGGAAGGACGCGCATGGTGTGCTGGTGGACGCGTTAGCCCCAGAAAGGGTTATAGCGCGCTCGTTTCCCACTGCAGACATCTGCGGTCCAGAGCTTTGAAAGTATCTCAGCGTTGTTGTGGTTGGGAGAAGCTAAATGTCTATAATCTAATCTACGTGGAAATGTCCTGGTACAGCTGTCTCAAGATTCTAGGGTAATCCGTCTCCACCAACATTCAATAACATTCGTGACGAACACGAAAAGTAACCTTAAGCAGTGGCGAAGATCACACGCACAAAGTTTGGGCACCTTCGGGCGTGATGGAACGGAGGAAACGATACCTATGCTATAGGTGCTATGATTCGCACTGCATGATATATTTGATGTCAAGTGATGTAATAATTTTACTCACTAGTTGTGCAGATACATCTTTCGAGTTTCTTAATATCTAAGGCTGAGTGATTTCCACAGCAAAATGAAAATTTCGTGCTTGCAGATTTCGTGCTTGTGGTGCCCATGAGAAAAATAACTTTACTTATACTTTTATGTTCTTCGATTATCAAGTAAACACGAGGTTTTTGCTTTTATTTCAGAGGCCTTAATTGCCATGTATGCCAGCAACGGATTAAGTCAAGTTTCATGAAACAAGCCTATCAATGTCGAGGTGAATATGTACAAATAATTACTTTACTTTTATTTTAAACTGACGTGTCATCTCTGTTATTACCTCGGCCCCATTGTTCACTCCGTCTCTTCGTTGCTCAATGAGAGAAAGCAAGAACGGCACAAGTCTATGAAAGCTTTTTTTTAAGATTGTAAACTGGTGTGCCACAAGTCATGTCACTACAAGACAGATGCGTTTTGCCCGCACAGTAAGGTATCTAAGCTTCAAATGTAAGTGTTTTTTGTCACTTATAAGCGATTTTTTCTTGGGCTTTGCTTCCGTTTTGTCAACTGTGCACGATTTTCAGTTCAGCACAATTTTGGTGACACGTCCCTTCAAATTCGTGCGCAACGACGTACCACTATTTATTGTTAATTATTGATTTTACCTCTGAATAATGTACTTTTTCGTAATTCAGGAATAGAACAACAATTTCCTTGTTGTTTCTAAAATTTGGAATAGTTTAACGTTTTTTATCATTTAAGAGGAAGTTCTTCTTCAGTATTCGCCCTATCCTCACCTGTACATACCCATTTTCTGAGACAGACGACGTTTTCCTTTGATGTTCAGTGGAAAATAAAATGGATGTCGCTGAAAAATTACTGCTCTGAAGTTCAGAATATTGCAGAAATACTTGTGGTTTTTTTGAGCTTGTGATTTTTTTTTGACTCAAATTAATCTCTCATTTTTCCGAGAATACATCTCAAAAAAGAATTCTTTTGACCTGCATGGCTCTGAAAGCACGCTGAGCACTGTTCTATCTGGCTTTTTCTTCCTATACTTCTGCAATTTTCAGAGCGAAGGATGTCGACTGGGAACATTTTTTGAATCACTATCAATTCGAAGAGTTCATTTCAATTGACGGTGTTTGATTCGCATTCGGAAACTCCGTTAAGGAGTGCTAAGAAGCTTTATCTGATGTGACTAGCGTGGCGGCCTCATGTGCCTTGCTTTCTTCTCCTTCTTTCCTGCCTGAGTTTCATGAGATAACCATAAGCTCTGTCATACAATTGCCTTTTTTTCTCTTTCATTCACACCAGAACCTCTTAACCTAGTGTTAAATGAATATTTTGTTTGCTATAACGACGGTCAAAAATCGTCGAGCTGTCGCGCTTCTCTTAATTCTTTGTAGATATTGTATAATTCCATAGTACACCGTATTAAATTTATAATCACTGCGGTTAAAGTTTTCGTTTACTATATCGATATAAAAGGAGTTAAATGGCAAAGCAAAAAGGAAGGTTCTATGTATCACCGGCATGTTTGTGGGTTTTCGCTGTTACATACATCTGTCAACGTATGGAAGTGAAAAACATTTAGTGTACTAGTGAGACAGAAAAAGGTTTTAACAATTAGAAACTGCGAAACGTATGCAGCACGAACAAACGGTTATTAAGAAACACCACTGCCTCATGAATAGTTGTTGTGCTGAAGGAACCCAAGTAGGAAGGGCAGCACTTCGCCAGACCTAAGAGAGTGAGCGAATATATGTTGTGAAGGTCTAGGAGCCTCTAGTACTGTTATGAAGAGATTTCAGGAAAATCCATGCTTCTTCATTATTCAACATGTTAGCATAGACGCTATAAAAGGCGATTCATAATGCAGTGGTGGAACTTATAAACGAATCTAACAACTTCTGTAGATGGCGACTGCAATACTACGACACAAAATGAGGAAGTGTCGGAACTGGAACAACAAATTTCTATCACCTAAGCTTTGTAGGCAGGCTAGCAGCAATGATATTGCTAATTACTGTAAATAAGTAATTAGGGACTATTTCAACCTGTTCCAATGTCGCGCTCATCGGATGCGAATTCGCTGCCGTACTAGGACTCTTCTTCTCGCGTAGCATTAAACCAGCTGCTAATAAACAATGGTACCGCCCGCAGTGAAGGTCTCTGGATCACGGGTATCTCACTATTCCACGAAAAACCCACGTTCAAACAACAATCTATAATTCGGTGAAGGAAAAACACGACAGATTTTTGAGCCATAATGGAACCCATACACCAACCTGAACACATTCATGGATAACTACTGCGGGACAAAAAATGAATAGATTGAAAGTGCTGGGGAGGAGGGGAAATTTCAGAATGTATCACCTAAGTTTCGAGCTGTCATATTTTTCATGCATAACGAAGTTCATGCCACTGTTTTACTAACGGTCAAATTGACTGCAGAACATCATAGGTGTCCACTTTCACGACAGTCTACTACCTGTAATAAAATGGGCTGATGGTATATGTGCAATAATGGTAGTACAAAGGAAAAATCGTAAAAACTTCAACAGTTAGAAATTGTGTTCAAAATTAAATCTTGATATATGCATCATATACCAATAGCAAATCTTTTTAAAGAAAACTCGTGATTAGCAGAGAAATTTTTCCTGATACATAACATCTCAGCCGACTGTCATTTCCTAGTTTGGAGTGGGTCAGAAAATTTCCAGTCGATCTACGTTGTTTGTTCTAAGTACCCTAAGAAGTCCAAAATCAAGCACTATCGAGTGCGAATCCTTGCCGAAAGCCACAGACTATCTTGAGCGGCAGGATCGTACGAAATTTGTTGAAATTCTATCCCAATTTTTGACAGCTTTCTTCCATTCTTTTAGACTGCACCTGAATTAATGTGCGCAGAAATGAAAGCGATTCCCTCTACGGTGTTACAGACAAACAATATACCTTTCCAGACTCTGAGGAAGGCGAAATCCGCCGAAACGTCAGTTTACTCGTGAATAAAGAATAAAAATAACACCTCGCGTTTACTTAACAAGAATGCGAAGATTTACAAACAATATATCTTTAAAAATAATGTTGTACTGAGATTATTACGACTTTTCGTTTAAACACAGTCCACTATTTATTCAGGTAGTCTCTTAATAACTCAAAAGACCGACTTTTATATGATCCCATAAACTAATCTTCTTAAGCTGATGCGAGGTTGGTGTAGGTCTTCGTTATCGTTGTTGTTGTTGTTGGTGTTGTTCGATTCATCGAGTTTGTAAGATCATATAAATGAATATATTCAGGTAGTGTTTTTAGGTAGAGGAAATCTATTAAATAGTATAATGTTGAGATATTTGCAAAACTCCTGACCGCAGGTGTCTGCGGTGCGTTCGCATAATATCCTGCCATTAAAAAGAATGGGCAGTAAATAAAAAGATTGAGAATCTATTAAATGTTGTCATTAGAGAACATTTGTGCTTGTTTAGTTACACATAGTACTTTCTTCACTGGAAAAGACTAGACGACGGGAAATGGTTCTACAACACTTCCGCAAAAAGTCCTTTATATCAACTATTAAACAAACGATTGCTATGAAAAAAAACTGCAAGATTAAAAAGGAATGTGTCTGCTATTGACTTGTGAAAGAAAAACAACCGTCAAAAATTCTGAAGAGTCCTGGAACTGTACGAAAGGCGTAGCTCACTAATTGACAGTTTTCATGTAAGTGAGCCTACGGCAATGGAAAATTATTAATAATCCCTCATTCGTGCCCTGTTAGAAATTTTTCGATCCTTAAAAGGTAAATTTTATTTACGTTTAGTGAAAAAACAAAAGCTAGTGGTTTCTTACTTGTTGCGCTTTCCCACAGTTTTATCTATGCTTTTCAAAGGCCTCCTTAACGATCTTCTTGCTTTCCGAGACCTCGTTCACGTTCTTAATCTTCTTCCTTCGTAAACTGACAAAGTTTTTCTACCCTTAACGGCTAAATCTTATTAATGCTTAGTGGAAAAACGAAAACCAGTGGCTTAATACTTGCTTAACCCTCGTATCGTTTTCCAAACCTTTTTGAAACTCTCTTTTACCAACATCTTGTTTTCCAAATCCTCGTCCACGGACTCCTAGAAAGTGCTGGTGGAGAGTTTCTCTTCTGAGAAGTTATTCATGCCATCTTTCGAAGTGCTCGTCACCCGTTTTCTCTCCATAATTTCAATAACGCTTTGACCCGAAGAGCTGACGACCAGTGTCTCCTTCGACATTCGACAGTGTCTCCTCATTCACGTCTTCATACGAGGCACTCATCACCCAACTCCTTTCCGTAACCTCAATCACACTTTCGTCCGAAAAGCTGATGACCAGTATCTCTTTCACCTCGTGCGCGCAGTCTTTCGAGATGCTGCTAACAAATTTTTCCTTCGTTGCCCTCTCGTTGAAGTTATCCTCTGCCCCATTCTTCTGCGCACTGTTTTCCGGTGACTTCCTAATCATACTCTTTTTCGAGGCGTTCATTTCTACCTTATCTTTCGAACCCTTCTTGAGCACGTTCTCTCCTGAAACTTTGTTATTCAAGTTCTGCCTCGATGCACTCTTTTTCACAACTTTTTTTAAAAAAGTTATTTCTCTATTCACTTTTTGGAGGCCTCTTTAATCACCTTCTTTTCTTGACGCTTTTCGCCTGGTGTCCCTTCGAAACATCCATTAGCACGCACTCATTCACGCTTATGCCTTTCAAGCATTCTTTGAGTACGTGATCCTCAATAAACTTTTTTCCCATCTCTTTTTCGAGTTCATCTGATGTCGCTGATGTCTTGTTTCTTCAATTTCGTTGCTGTTTTCGATATTGAAGGATGGTCAGATAGTGTCGTGGACCTTCTCAGTTTTAACTGCGGAGGTAGACGTGTAGCCGGCGATGTTAGGAAGGAGTTGAAAGACACTCTATCTTTATTTCTGACTTCTCCCATTGTGAACTTTGGTGTAAGGCATGCATTTGGGCTTGATGGACCCAACTTGAGCAATGAACCAGAGTTCAAGACCTGAAACAAGTAAAATAACTGACGCACCTGTCCACACAAAGTGAAGCAATTTTGTAATTATTGACAAAGACTTTTGGTTTTTTAGTGAAGTTTAACGGTTACCACATTGTTATCGGATCAATCCAACAAATTCCGAAGAAAATTTGGCACATTTCCATACCCATCACCACATTGCCACATTATGAAGTTGGTCCAACAAACGATCCCCGATCGCTATAAATTTCCTCCTCCAGCAGAGGTCTATGGTAAATGGAAATGTATTTAATTTATTCTGTAGGAAGACAACTATCATTTAAAGCGCCTTACCGGCTGTCTAACGCTCTAAGTATGAAATTTCTCATGTAATATCGTGTTAATACGAAATTATCACAGGACAGATTTAGTTAACGTTACGAAGTAAAATAACAAACGGGTGCTTGAGCAACACATGATTTGTATAATGACTACTCGGCGATCAATGAAGAGGTTAAAGAGGTTACACCAGGTGTGATCCTTTTATAGGATGGAAACGTCGAAATGCTTCACAGTTCGGGAATTCTGCTCCGAAACCACTCACTCTTCAGCAATCAAGGGCATTGTCAGTTATGACGAAACAGCAAGTGTTCTGGACAGAAATTCCTCCTTCACGAAAAGAAACTCCAGCGGGATCAACAAAACCACATAAATATTGCCATAGGTGATTTTCTAAACAGTTGGTTGTCGGAAAAAGACGATTAGCATACATTGGACGACTAGAGGTTGTCGCTCAGGTTTCACCGTGAAAAATTTGTCTTAAAGCGAACAAGCGCCTGTAGCGATAAGCGTGTGGAGAGAACCAGTCAAATGAACAAAAAAACGAGGTAAACGAAGTTGCGAAAAGCGTTGATGAAGATGAATGAAATTCAGATTGTCGAAGCTGTGGGCGACTGCACAGGCCGGTGTCAGAAGAGCTGAATGCGATATCCGGCAAGATTTGCGATATCGTCGGCTAACAAGTTTCGTCACGATCGTCAAGACGAATGTTTGCTATTGTTTAACAAGGATTCAAAATGCTTAATGCCTACCACATTCTCAATCTGGCAGTAGAGAGTTCACATCGGCTTCTCATGTGTAGTCACCACACTGCAATATTTCTAGCGTTTGAGAACCTAATTCGTCCATTATTTTGGAATACTGGAATATCAGTCGGTGGTGGCGTTGAACGCACTGCCACAGATATTTTCGAACGAGTCGACATCGTCTGCATGAGCTGTTCATCAGCTCGTCCACTATTTATCGATCCCGAGCACCTGAACGTTGTGTGCTGACTCTATCACACAGTCCTTCGACTCCCATAATTCGCGTCTTTTATCGCAGCGCTTATTTGTCTATAGTATCGAAAAGGGGAGACATAGATCGTGGTGCAGGAGTTTTTTCGTGGTTGCGTTTATACACGCCATTCTCTTAGATGATGGCTGGAATAGTGAGGTGGTTGGTGATGCCGTTGATCAAGAAGCAAAGGTCCTAATTGGAACGGCGCCCCAACGCTTTCCTCCAATCAACGTGGCAACGAATTAGCCCTGCTATCTCCATGATTGCAAGGAAAATTTACTCGCCCAGCATTCTACGACATTTAGAAAGCAGACGAAATCCTCAGGCAGCAGCTGAAACAAGGTACGAAATGTTCGAAGACCACTGTGATTGTTTTGTTGCGAGGAAACGATTTGAATACAAGAAGTTCTGGAACCCGCACAGTACATATAATAAAGGGTGATGTGAAAGAAATCCTTTTGGAAATCCTTGCTTGATAATTAGAAATTGGAAGTTTAATGCTTCGCCGAATTTGAAAAGCTCACTCGTGCCATCTTCAACCCCATAAACTAGTGATTTCTCGTGACTGGGATGATTGTTGTTGCATTCTCCAGCCATTTCTCAGATCTCTTAGCAGTAGATCCCATAATGGTACTTTTACAAATTTACCATGCAGGTTGGTGCCATTCCAAGATAGTGGCCACGTTCTTTTTCACAAATCCTTTCATAGCTTCCTCTGAATCATTTCTGAGTGACGCCGACAATTTATTAGTTGGTTGTTGGGGTTTGTGTCAGACCATGGAAGTTTATAGCTATACACATTTTTCTGCTCCAATTTCACAATATTACAGATGCCATTCTTGCGTAGGTTCATTTTTGAGGTCAGAAAAATCTCACCTAGACCTAACACTGGAGAATAAAAGAATTAGCACATATTGGATGACTTCAATTTGTCCCTCACTTTTCACTGCGAAAGAAAGGCAGCAAAGAAACGAATGAGAACTGAGGACTACAAGCGCGTCAAAAAATAGTTCAAGAATGGAATGCGAATTACTTCTAACCTGAGCTCAACCAAGCGGAACAATGCTGTAAGCACTTTTGCACCGACTTGCTTCCAGAAATATTGAAATGAAGTGACTTCACTTAGTATTTGCTTTTTATATAAGACGGTTTTTGATTGGATGACTACCGACAACACGTTTAATGATGTAAATCATCCTGCCGCAATCGGCATTAGATCACAAGAGCACATAGCAGTAATACCTCTGTAAATCGATTCTACGCAACCTCGGTACGAATAGTAAATATCTGATATTCGCTGGTGATCTTGACTAGCAAAGATGAAGTTGATATTACAACCTTCATTAATACAAAGCAGCTGCGTTGTAAGCTGAGTAATACAAGAAGATAAGGACCATTGGTACCAAGCTGAAGGTAGGTATGCGAAATTCGTCATCGAATTTATTCACTGATGATGCGGCTCGCTTTGGTGAGGCTGGATCGCAGGATTCAGTATTTGTCGGATCGTTCCCGTCTTCATTTTTAGGTGGAAAGAAATCTGCGTTCCATTCATACTTAGCAATTCTTTTTTTTTTGCTGAGTACGGTTAAAACCTCTTTGACCAATTGCAGACGCCAAGTTGTTACAATAATAAATGGCAACTAGCAACACGTTGGAGTGATTTCATCGGTTAATTTAATTTTTTGTACTTTGCGTGTTGCGCACTGTTCAGTAGAGCCCTGCAATATGCATGGGATCAATCGCTGGCCCACAGGCCCTCTAAGCCTTTAATGCTTTCATGATCTGCAAATTGGTACCAGACTTGTCTGGGAGGATAGCGGCACTGGCTCGATATAGAGCGCCGCAAGTCTTTGTAAAGGCGAGATATGTATTCAGTCACCTCTAACGATGATTAATGACTCTCACGACCGACTTTCTATTAACCTCGGCATTGATTAAATAATTTTTCGTATTCTTGTTGAGCAAACGCAAGTTGTTATTTTTATTCTTTATTCATGAATCAGCTGACGTTTGGGCGGATTTCGCCTTCCTCAGAGCGTGGAAAGGTCAAGTTGACAGTAATCTATTCGGCCAAACACCTCCATAATCAAACAAAGAAAACGCTAAACCAAGAGTTCAATCGCATTGAACACAGCTTTGCACGCTCACCGCTTTCTATGAGGCTTCCACTGAGTATGTCGCTCGAAGACCAACCGCACAGAATTCACATGGAAGCGTAATGTGCCCTTCCCATCAGAATACCGATTACTGCCCAATAACTGCCCGATTATTGGGCTTATATACTGCCCAATATCACGCGTGATAATGAGGCATTCTTTCCTGCTGTTCATTTTTGGATTTCTGGAATTAATCCAGAACACCTCGAGAGTTTTGCGCGCTTGTGTGGCGTTCTGGATTAATTCAAGAAATCCGAAAATGAACCGCAAGGAAGAATGCCTCATTATCATGCGTGATATTGGGCAGTAAACAAGCCTGTTATTTTGATGATATGGGCACAATACGATACCGTGTGAACTCTGAGCGGTTGGTCTCCATGTAACGTATTTTGTGAAAGACTCATAGAAAGCGGTGAATGTGCAATAACTGTGTTCAATGTGATCTTGAAATCTCGGTTTAGCGTTTTATCTGCTTGGTTACGGAGGTATTTGCCCAAATATATTGCTGTCAACTTGACCTTTCTAGGCTTTGAGGAAGGCGAAATCTGCCGAAACGTCAGCTTGCTGGTAATAAAGAATAAAATAACACCTCGTGTTTGCTCAACAAAAATACGAAGGATGATTAATGAAGTTGAATGCACAGTGCATCCTTGAGAGGTTGATCAACGCAAAGAGTTTTATTCTTTATCCTTCACTCAATGTGTAATTTTTCATTTGTTGTTTAAGCAGTTTTATAGCATATATATATATATATATGTAGGTTTTCAATGTGACTTTTTTGGTCGGTGGTGCAATTGAGAGAAATAGCTGCGAAAATAGAAGCAAATCTTTCACTCCCTTCCATTTATTCTTGTGCTTTTTCTCCGACAAGAAGAATCAAAAGATAAGCAAAGATAGCAAAACAGACTAGCTATCCTTGTAGACCTAATCAACGCATGACTAGAAATAGGAACAGAAGTAGAAGCATATGTAGAAGAAAATGTGGGAATGGAAATAGAGGTAGAAAGAGGACCCATAGCAGGACAAGAAA